TAAACCCTAAACCCTCTCTGTATTGCACCAATATCTCATGTTACTACACCCCTAAAACCGTAGATCCACTACCAATTTGATTTAAGTGGTAGAAGTACTAACTAGGCCTTTCCTGTTCCGTGTTAGGTTCCCTTTTTTTTTTGTTTTGATATGAGCATTAACATTGTTCCTGTGTAAACCATAACCCCTAAACCCTACCGGTAGGTCTTGATGCTGTACTGATTTATCGCCCTATCCAACTTTACCTTTGCCATCTCTATCCCTTAAACCCTAAACCCTACGTACGAGTGCTTGGGTTTCGTTCCCCTTTTCTCTCTTCCTGTAATTTAATGGTCAGCACCCTCCCTCTCTCCATTTGAAGGTCAAATGTGCTCCTTGGATTGTTGCTACCGCTCCATCACCGAGTACCTTTTGCTTAAAGCGTTTCGATATTTCTTCCTCTTGTTCCGGTTGTTGGCGTACCTGGTTCCTCACCGCCTTCCACAGGGCCTTAAGGTGTGTTTCGATGAGGGATAGGAAGATTTCCTGGTCCATAGTGCATATTGTCGTACGAACTGGAACATATGTTTCTGAAAAGGTTGCCATTGCTTGGGAACCCGCAAACCCAACAGTAAGGAAATCCTTGAGTCTGGAAACACTATCCTTATTACTTGTTCCCAAGTGTCTTTGGCCACCTCCCAGATCCCTCGCGCTTCTTCACACCCTCACTCTCATTTCTTGCACAAAGGAAGCAAATCCATTGCAGCATTCTTTCTGCCAGTCGTCGTTGAAGAACCTGAGGACATCTTGTACAAGTGAAGGCCAGGAGTGGAGCCATGCTTCTCTCCACATGCCATTTATCCCTGGTGTCTTTTTGTTTCCCATGCTTTCTACCGCCGACCGTAGTTCTTCTGAGGGGATAGGATCATTGCGTCAGGCTGCCATCTTTGGGGATAATATTCCGTCAAGGTGCTTTAACATTCTCCCTTGTGTGCTTTTGTGCTGTTTTGTTTGCATGGCGTTTTTTAATGTTATTTGAACTTATTTGACTTTGAAAGTGTGATAAGATGCATTAAGTTTGCTAGTATGATAAGATGCATAACGATGACCCAGAAGAAAGTGGCAACTTGCCCATTGATTGGGTCTGTGCAGTCTTCTCGAGGGGAGGGGGGTCTGGAAGTATATAGATCCTAGCCAGACTTGGAAGTATATAGATCCTAGCCAGACTTTTGCTAAAGTACTGCCTAACAGACTCCTGAATATCAGAGCCAAATGTTTCTACATATATCACGCAGGTCTTCTTCTGGGAGGGTATACGCTATGACATTATAGACAGTGGAACGGCACGGAAGTGGCCCAGCAAAATATGTTCTTTTCTTTGATTTTGAGAAAGGTTACGGCCATACGCAAGGTGGTGTCCGTGTGTACATTATGTATTTCAATTTTGACTTGCCGGGGAAAGGAACCGGACTGACGCTCCCCAGAATGGACAAGGAGCCAGGGCGGTAAGTTTTTTCCAAACAAGAAAAAAAGAAAAAAAAAGGAAAAAAGAAAAAAAGAAACAAGAAAGGTTACGACCAAGTCAACTGGGATTTCCTACACGGCTGCATGGCCAAGGTGGGAGCGGGACAAAGCTTTAGGCATTTGGTGAGGAGATACTGAGCTAAAACGCCATAGGAAAAGTCCAGGTGGACAGTCTGAGATGGGAGAGGCAAGGCGATCTCTTTTTTAACTTTTCAGATGCTTATGTCCCTTGCTCCTTTCTATTCTAGGTAGCATCAGTGCAGTTCCTTGTCCACTGGCAAGTTAGGAATCAAGTACAACAAATAAACACACACTATGCTTCCTTCGTTTGGCCGATGGACTCCTGAACAGCATCGGTTTCTCCTGTACAGGAGGATTGACCGTCAGCTTGCCATCTCCCGGTAGCCTTTCCGACTTGGTTAAAGCCAAGGCTTTCAGACTCTGCTGTCTCTGCTGGTAATTGCCGTGGACGGCCTTGGGACACTGCTGCAAAAACTGGACTTTGGGACTTGACATTCCCTGTCGGAACTTCCAGACCTCTACCGACCTAGAACGCTTCGGTGTCCGACTTCGAACAGCCCACAATGCTTCGGCCAACAGACCCCAAGGACCCTATGGACCTGGGAATCCGATCTACCTGGGACCGGGACCAATGGGGGCTCTGGGACTGGGCCTGGGACAGAAATACAACGTGAAATCTTTTCAAAATTCAAAGGGATTTCAATTGTTGTGCTGGAGTCCAGCTGCAGAAATACTGTCCATCTTTTCTGTAGGACTGGGGTTGGGTCTTTGTTTTTGCAGTGGAAGTTGTATCCATTTTTTTTTTGACAGAATAGTGTGATATAGGGAGGGCTGAAGGCACGGCGATCCCTTAGCCCATCGAGATTTCTCATGAAACCCATCGCCTCTTGTCTTAGGAAAGACTCAACCATCACCAGGCTGGCACAGTACAAATAAGGATATCCCCACTTTTGTCTTTCGGACTCTTTCCCTATGGTCCTCATGTTTGCCGACGATCGGTTTCCATTACCGATCCCATGTCCCAATTCCCTGTCAGGGCAATGGGAACATTCACGTTAGCATCGAAAATGGGGTCAGTGGTCCAAGATTCAATGTTGGTGGTTAACAAACACCCCCTCGTTGCCCCC